TGTGTTATCTGGACAACCTATGCCGCGCTCTCCTCCTCCCCCAAACCCTTCGGTATATTTCAGAATGGCTGCGTGTTTTTCCATGCCACCCTGATTCTCATCCGCAGATCGTGAATACTAGTAACCTCTTGCCATCGGTGAACGTTCTTTTCGACGAGGTTCGTCAACGTGAACGTGCTAGCTCCCATTCGTCCTCTGGTTCCCGTACCCCGTCGGCCTGGTCAGGTTTCGTAAGTGGTTGTAACGCGATTTACGGCCTACTTCACTACTGATTCTCACCGATTCGACAGCCTGGACCGGAACGCGCTCTTATTGGGCATGGTAACTCTCGCCCCCAGTTGCCCCCTCTGCAAGTTGGGCATCGCATGGCACCGCAGGCTCGTTTTCAATATATTCTGATATATCCCCGAAGCTGAATATGTTCCCAGCAACAACAGATGCCTCCCGTATCTAGGCCTGTAAGGGCCTTCCTAAATTTAAGATACATTTATTTATTGTGAGTGTCACAGGGAACGGAAAGGTACCTGGCCAACAGTGAATCACCGCCTCATGTCCACGCTCAAGCACCCCTCCCCGTGATTCCAAACCGAATGGGTGGCCGATATGCACAAACACCGTGCCACAGCAATGGTCAACCACACGCTGCCGGTGTAATTTTACTCCTCCGCCTCACTCTCACCGCCCTAACTTGGAATCTTCTAGTTGATGCCGATTTCTCCTAACAGGGCTTCCTCCGCCCATTCAAGCCACCGGCGACCGCGGGCCTTGACCGTGAGGGTATAAAATTTTCCACCCGCCGCTTGCTCTGATGGTTTGTCTTTTCTCAAAGACCGGATCTTCAAGACCTGCTCCTTCGACGAACGGGAGGGAGGTGGCGAATGAGGCCGCCTCGCGTCTATTTCATAGTCTGCTGGAGTCTGCTGGAAATCCCACCTGCGCTCAATGCGTTCATGACCTCCGAATTGAAAGTCGGCGCCAGGTAGTGGGGACTCACGGCCCGGCCTTCTCTCAATTCGCTCATGGCATCAAACCACAACATCCCACGGCGCTCCCGCAAGTGCAGGGTTTGATCACCATCCCATTCACCCCCAAGCCCATCAACAATCAGACGGTGCTGTTTGGTGTCTCGCTTACGGAAATTCTCGACTTTCGCGATGTCCTGGATGACCCACGTGAACGCGTCCTGGACAACTCAATGAACAAGATTTTATTAACTATAGAGGTTTGTGGGTTGCATTTTCCGATTATTCGCAAAGTCAATCTCGCCGACAGCACCCTGGATACCCTGTTGTAGTCAAACAAATTTCGGGCAACTGTCCTCACCGCCCGGTCTCTCGCTTCAACCTTGCATTCAGCGTAGCTGAAGCGTATTTCTCTTTTTTCAAAGTACGCGCATATGAAATAAAATTCTGCCACCCTTTTTTTGAACCGTGTTCCATAGACAAACCAATTTGACCCCACCGTCGTTCCGAAGAACTCCGCCGTGGTTCGCTCCGTCACGCAGATCCGTCTGGTAAACTTGTATACAACCGACAGGACCAACTATAGGGCCCACGTCGCTTATGTCTTTTAAAGAAACCGTGCTCTTAGATTAAATTGTTTTGTTACTCCCTACTGCTGTCGGTTTGCTGTGCTTAAATTGCTATCGGTTTTGTGGTTTTAAAATTCCATCCTGTCTTTATCGAAATAATCTGCGTCACTGAGGACGAGACCAAAATTTCCGAGCTATCTATGTATATGCTTGGGACGTGCGCGTGTGCGGGTTGTTGCTAACAGGCAATACTTCGCTAGTTGAAGCGCGAAGGTCCATTCGTGGAAGGAATACGCTGTCAACAAAAAAAAATCTCCTTCAGGCTAAAAATCATCGAGATCACCTCAATTCCAGTACGGGGAGTCGAACCCCGGGCTAGTGCGTGAAAGGCACCGATGTTACCGCTACACCATGCTGGAGGTGACGCGGACACGACACGACGGATGTAGAATGAAGCAGATTCGTTGGACGGCGCCTTGAGTCAACAATTCCGATATTCTTTCAATCTCTTCGCATACCAGAATCTCAGAAAGAAACTCGTGGCAGAGCCTCTCCTTCGCGCGGAAGCTAGCTTACATCTCATCAAATCTGGCCTGGTGCAGTGCGATAATGCCGGTGATAAAAGTCTTAGATTGAGCTTGACAGGCTGCCGGCAGGAGATGTGCGCAAGCGGCCCCCAAGCAGATGCACCACATCTAAATCAGAACTCGGAAGACGCTACATTGGAAATGACTTTTTTCTCATACCTCCCAACGGTATCGAATCGCCACATCGGCGCCTATTCCTAAGGGGGGTTACCACGAGCGGATATGTTTAGACGAGTGAATCAGTGATGGGCAAATTTATTCCCAGCCAGGCCCTCGCGCTAAGGAAAATGAGAATAAGAAAGGCTTAAGCCCAAAAGATTTTGCACATACTTTCAATTCCTATTATATGCAACATGCCACGCCGCATCAGTGAAGGTAATACAGCCTGCGCCGCCGCCTTCCATGCCGTGAATGTGTCGCTCGAGCCGGTCATTGTCGCCCTGATTATGCTCGTCATCCAAAGCACATCCGGGCTGGTTGTCGGCCTGATTTCGATTATTTTCAGGGCGCGGAGGTGATTCACAGTAGTGTCTATGGCAGCGTCGAGCTCCTCCGAATGGCTCGGAAGTTCGTGTAGATTCACAGTACCCTCCAGTGTAAGCTGCTCAAGGCAACTATCGTGCGGGCACGTCTTGAAGACGGTGCCAAGCAGGCCCAACCCAAACCCCGAGAAGGTGAATAAGTGGAGGAAGCGCAGATTTGCACTAAAGAAATTTCCATTCCCTACCAGGACTTTAATTGTGAACGATTCAAGCTAGCAGGGTACTCACAGCTTCTCTCGTCCCACAGCAAAAGGCGTAGATGCTCCACACTGGAGGGGCCGGCGTTCGTTGCCTGCATTATTGTGCTCATCCGTTCGACCGAGCGCGTCCCAACTGTGAGAGTGCTGACACGGCTCAGGTCGAACCGCGGATTCGTGAGATAGTGACAAAAAGGGTCACTGCGGAAATCGTTGACGAGGAGGGACCGAAGCTTAGGGTGCCATAGCTGTAATTCTGGCCACGGCTCGTACTCAGCCTGCGTGAAGTACAAACGTGATAACGACATCTCCTTGAGAGCCGTCGCTTCGGCGAAAAGCAATAGTAGCTGGGATGGAGACTCGAGCACCAGCCCGCGCAGGTGGACAGCCTCGAGTCTCGGAGACGAAAACACGTCGGCCAGCGCGGATTGCAGGTGCTGGTCCATTTTATTCCAGCTCCTGCTGTATGAAATGCCACTCTGTCCATTCTCGATGATGGATATCCGTGTCAAGTTAAGGAGGGGGAGAACGAGGCATAACGTTCCACTGGACATGGCCCAGTTGCGGCGATCGGAATCGGAGGAGACGATGCACAGATCCTCCACGAGAGGCGCAATGTGAGGTGACGAGCATAGAAGCTTGTAGAACAGTTCACATGTGTTACTATAAGATGAAAGAGGATGAGTAATTTCAATTTTCCTGAATATGTGCTTCCTGGCGGAATCGACAAAGGGCCGTGCAGCCAGAGAGCAAGACTTGAGACTGGGAATATCGTGGTGGATATTGTCGACGATTGCGTCGACGAGTTCCTGCGGAAGGTCCATGAGGTCTTTGGTAATGAAAGCTAAAAAGTGAAAGCGCAGAAAAGGACCATCTTTCCTCTCATCACTACCCCTCCACACTAGCTAATATCTCCGGTGTGGTGTAGTGGTTAACATCGGTGCTTTTCGAAAAAAAAAAAAAAAACCCGCCGCCAGGCGGGTTTTTTTTTTTTTTTTTGCGGTAGGCAGCAGCCGTCGAGCGGAGCGAGGCGGGTGCTGCGCGAGCGAAGCGAGGCGCGGGGCGCGCGCCGTAGGCGGGCGGCGGGCGGGCGTCGAGCGAAGCGAGACGCGTGGCCCGAAGCGAGACGTGAGCCCCTAGCGAGCGAAGCGAGAGAGGGGCGAAAAGACCGAGTGACGTCACGGCAACGTGCGGCATGTGTTCCGCGATGCGGCAACGTCCGGCTGTGCCCAACCTTGTTCCGCGGAGCGGTGGCTGGCACAGCAAGTGTCGCCGGCCACAAAGTTCCGCGCAGCGGCAACCAGCGGGTGTACCCAACCATGTACCGCAGAGCGGTGGCTGGCGCGCAAGCGCCGCCAGGAACTCCCGCGCAGCGGCAACCGGCGGATATACTTACTCAACCATGTACCGCGGAGCGGTGGCTGGCGCACAAGTGTCGCCAGGAATTTCTGCGCAGCGGCAACGGGCTGTACCCGACCGTGCAGCCATTTGATCTGTCCCTCTCTGCACCAGGCTCAATATGCCTTGTTTGGAGCAGCTGGATGTCGCCTGGCTGCTGCCATCCTTCTGAGCGTTCGATTCCTCAACTTGGCATTCCCGCGGGGTACATTGTTTTGCCGGTTCACAATTTTTGCATCTGCTCAGAAACTTTCATCATATCCGTTTTCGGTCGGCCAGTCGTACCGAAAATAAACAAGGAACGGCGAGCCAACTTGGCTTCTGTCAGGACAAACAAAAAAAGGGGACACACCGGGTCCCCGGTGTGTGGCTATGCCAAGCTAGTGAAACTGAGGACAGATTCAAGGCTCGAGAATGTGTGGGTATACAAAATGAATCTGATGTCCCCCCTCTCTGCACTGGGTTCAATAGGACTTGCATGGAGCAGCTGGATGTCGCCTGGCTGCTGCCATCCTTCTGAGTGTTCGATTCCTCGTCCTGTCATTGTTCTTGCGGACTATACCTTTTTGTCAGCACCGTATATGATTCTACGCAATTTCCAACGTCTCTGTATCCAACCTTGTCCCGGTCCCAGGCAGGCACAATCACCATTTCAGCCTGCTCGCTACTGCCATCCCCGCGGTACAGCAAAGAAGGAACTGCGATTGGCACTAGTCAAGTTGCTTCATGTGGGACTGCTCACATGTCCAGCATGGTGTAGCGGTAACATCGGTGCCTTTCACGCACTAGCCCGGGGTTCGACTCCCCGTACTGGAAATGTTTTGCTAAATCGTTTTACCCGCAAAATTTTGCATGATTCTTGTACATAACCACGTCAGGCGCCCTATTGTCGCAAATTTCTTTTTCTTGTTATAGGGCCCGATAGTGTGAGATAACAGCCGATCGGGCCATCAGCCTGACCGAGACTGATGGCAAGGAGACTCTTAGAATCAGCCGCTGACGGCAGTGGGATCAGGTTGTGATCGGGCACCGGTCAGGTCGCGGTCGGGGAACGATCGGGGCGCGATGAGTCCCGTCAGCCTGAGGGGGTTATAGGGCCATATCGTGTCTGACAGACGAGGAGGAAAAAGGTAAAATAATTTTATTGGCCGTGCTCTTTTTTCTTTTTCTTTCTCTTGCTTATGACTTGGTCACATCCTGTCTAATGTTACTATTACTCTTAGCACTATTTAATGCACAGTAGTATTCGAACGTGTGACCTTCTCAGAAATATTAAAGCGAGCATACTTTACTACTACACTACGCGACCGTTGACTGCAGCAGAGGTGAAATTCGATACATGCTCCAAGTCAACTTGCTCTTCCCGGGGTGCTAAGCTGTTTTAACTCACCTGAGACCTCTGATATAGCTAATACTTATTCCCCTCAACTGTAATTGAGCCCGTAGATTTTTATTGTTGAGCCCAAATCCAATAATAGTAAGCGGCGACGGCCCCGCGTGACCCGGTGTCACTTCTGACCACTTTACTCGGAAACTTCTGTGGCCCATATCTCGACAACCACGGCCTCAAATCACAAGATTTGTATCTCGTCGGAATCGCCTCGACGAGCTCTAACTCATACCACCAACCCCATGTCCCAATCTGACTGCGGAAAAATCCCTTTTTTCGACGCGAATGAAGGAAGAACTCCAAGTGCGTGTATTCATACCTCCCAGGAGTACCACTATCGACGAATTGCGCACTCGCCCGGACAATCCATGGTCTACAAACCAACACCCTCGCCGCTCACCGCATCGGCCCTGTATAAAGCCGCGTGCGTACCGTGGATGCGAATGCGCATCTCACGCTACGTGTGCGGCTATATCAGCGTGCCTGCGCATCCGTATCCCACAAGAATTCAAGATTCAAATACATTTCAAGAGCTGCTGTAACATCGACTTCATTAGAAGCTTAAGATTCCTCGGCGCTCTCATTCGCTTGGCTCCCTCCCCGCACGCCACCCCTGGGACCTTCTCCGTCCATTCCATCTGCACCCGTGGTACCTTCCACGTCGTCCTCGTCTCCGCTCCCAGTATCCATCTCGACCACCTGGGTATGGCTCAACGCCTCAAGAGCTTCGTGAAGATCTTCGGTGTTGGCCGATCCTGTTCCGAGTGCCGCCCCAAGACTTGCCTCGGTGTCCGGAAACAGCTCGTCGTCCCACTCACGGAAGAGGCGGAGCACGGGTTCATGGCGGTTGCGAAGCCCGTTTAGAAGCCACTCGTGAATTTGCTCACCGATCAGGTGCCAATTCACAGCAGTTTGCTGGCCGCATTTCTTGAGACTGGTGTCGGCAGACAGCGTCCACAGTGTCTGTAGCTAAATAAATCATTCCTTGTTACCCCAAATATCGGCACTCACAAGAACCGATGCGTTGCGGACCATGCCGGGTGTCGTGCGAGTGATCTGGTGAATATCTTGCATACATCTACTGCTCGAACTCGACCCCTTCCCAGTAGCGAGTGTACGGGCCTTCTGTTTCCCAAAGATGATGGCGGCAGCAACCTTGAGTAGCAGTAAGTCCTTGTTTGTGGATAGGCGAATGAAACTTACATGCATAACAAGTTTATTGTGCAAGAACGTCTCGGGGTTGTGGGATATCGACCCATCGCTATGCAAGACAGGAGCGGCCAGGGGGTGGTAAGTAATTTTTCCCGCAGCGTTCTTCTTTCCACCAATGAGGTCGGCAAGGCCGGCACGCTTTGCGTCTTCAAGAACATCGGCGACGTCTTTGAAGCGCTCCGCATCGAGGGCTTTGAGATGTATGTTGAACACAGGCTCAATCTCGTTGCGCAGTCGCGACGACGTGTTTGAACGCTGCCGTCCCATTGCTTTATCGAACTTCGGCGTTCAATAAACAAAAGCTCGTAAAAAGCACAAATTGACGACACACCTCAAAGATAACCCACTCCTTCCGCAACTCGCCCCTTAACTCTTCGGGCAGCAAGTCGCGTACCGCCCTCAACTCTCCCTGTTTCTTCTGGCTCTGGTTTGCGAATCTGTTCTTCTCCTCGTACGATTGGCTCAGTTTAGTCTCCAGCACACTCTCTGCCGTCGACGAGAACCACAAGCCCTCTGTAATCACATATTTATGACCGGCACGGCGCATCTTTTCCTCCGGACTATCGTCCTCCACCTGATCATCGTCGGGGATGTTCTCATCGTCCGAAAGAAGAGAACGTGTGGGACGAGTGCGCTTCCTCGGACGTCCACGATGGGACCGGTTGGTGGTGTCTGCGAGCACTGCTCGCTTTTCGGCAGTATCAGCCCGGACCCTCTCGTCGTTGAGGGCCTTCTCATTCTGCCGTGCCAACTGAATACAGCTGAGTCAGCGTGGTTCATGTCGCAGCAGCGGCCAGCCGAACACACCACAAGTAGCTCATCTCGGCTCAGATCTTCCAAAACAGTCGGTGGTTCATTTGCGCGAGACATAATCAAAAAGAATCGTTCGAAGTGCGATGGTGGGAGAAGTGAAGTGACCAGGAGATGCCGGCAATTTATTGACTCACACCTCCTAACCGACTCCAATGATGTTCTGCGCTCCAATGACGTCGGCCATGTTTACGTCTCGGGATCGCGTCTACCATTCTACTTCTGCACTTCAATGCCTCGCAAACGAAAGATCACAACCGACACAAGTGGACCGACATTCCGGTATTGCAAATATTGTGATAGCCAACAGCATGCTCGAGGCTTTGTGAACCACCGCCGCTACTGCAAGAGGAACTCTGATCTGGAGCGAGCTCTAGAGAATCAGCGACAGTGCGGACCATCCACCCCCAGATTTGACAAATGCCTCTTGGAGCCTGTAAGTGTTTTCCAGTTTTTTCTTTGAGAAAGTGCACTCACAATTTCTGCAGGAATTTAACATGGATATTGACATGAATATCGACCCAACCCCGTTTCAAGAGGCGCCGGACTTCACGTCTCCAAGCCCAGTCCCAGATGGTTCGGTCTCTTTCCATTCTTCCTCCAGAGTTAGATTAACATTCTGTCAGATGCTGCCCTCGACAATCCAAAACTACCCGCCGTTTACCTCCTCAGCGAGCCACATCCCAAAGATCCACTCGCAGCGGGAAAAATAATTTCATTGTGTCATCCCACCATGCGGGAAGTCGATCCTACTATCACGAAACACGTTGAAAACCTCATCGATGCTGCTCGCCCATACGCTCCGTGGACTACGCTGTCGGACTTTCAATACACTGAAACCGCTGTACAAGGTCTTCTGAAACCGAAGTTCATCGATACTCAGCTCAAAGGGATGACTGGATCCTGGCTTCGTGGACAAGGCGACATCACCCTGAAGGACTACCACGAATACCGAAGAGTACTGACACAAGCCCATGTGTCTGGTGTACAGGTTTGTCTGGTTTTTGTATCTCTTATCATGCTAAATGCGTAGCCAGTTCCGTAAGGCCACGGTCAAGGCAACCTTGTGGGGGGTTGAAAAAAAATACACGTTCTTTTACCGCGATCCGTGGGAATGGATCCGCAGCCTCGTAACTGATCCATCGTTGGCATCCGTTACGACCTGGAAGTCTCGGCGTATGTTCTACTGTGAGAATGGTCACAGAGAACGATTTATTGCGGAGCCATGGACTGCTGACTGTTGGTATGAAGTTGATGTGCGTGTTTATCTCTTCTTTCGCTACATTCGTTGATATCTTATAAGACTGAGCTCCCGCTGCCAAATCCTTATCCGCATTGCTGGGTACCACTCCACATTTGGCTCGACAAGGGCCTCGTAACCAAGCATGTCAAGATGTTCCCCATTGTGGCCCGCTCTCTGTCACTGCCGTCAGAGATTAGAAACGCATCAGGGAATGGCGGAGGAGTTTTTCTTGGATTTATGGTCATGGTACGAGCACAGTGCAACACATACCTCCGGCATGAGCATTTCTTTTTACAGGTTAAAGACCCGGGCAATCCGAAGGACCGCACGGACAAGGAAAACTACGAGTTCGCGCAGTTTAAGCGCGAGATTTACCAGCAAGTGCTCGAAATTATTTTTTCTTCACTGTATCCGCGGTCTTGGAGAGGTGAGGTGGTTACATGCGGAGATGAAATCACCCGGGTCTTGTATCCAGGTTTCCTCATTGAATCTCTCGATTTTGAAGAAGCCTGGAACTTCACTTGCTGCAGAGCCGGTCGCGCAAAATTCCCGTGTCCACGCTGTCTTGTCTCGCAAGAAATGCTTCATTTCTTACAGCGAACATTTGAGGCCCGCACCTCATCAAATATGAGGGCCATTGTTTGTCTTGCTCAAAATGCACCAAACGCGACGCAGAAGGAGAAAATTCTGATGGAACACGGTTTGCATGATGTTGTTGTAAGCTTCATCTTCCTATTACTCCGCCGATGTACTCAGCTCTTGTGCAGCATTTCATGTGGAACTTTCGCTTTTCGGATCCGTACCAAGCAGTCAGTTACGACTTGCTCCACTTCGACGAGTCTGGAAAATGGGGACATCATCTGTGGCCGTTGATCCTGGACCTGCTCGGGGAACTGCGTCTTCTAACAGAAATGACAGACATGTGAGTATCCCTTTTCTGCATCTCTCTCTTCAACCTAAGCAGCTCATAGAATGAGTAAATTTCCGCACTGGCGGAACTTGAAACATATCGATGATTTAGCCACCAAAGACTTTGCGGATGGCCAAACACATTTTGATATACTCAAGGTGTGTCTCTTCTGATCCGAAATTCCTATACTAATTGGAGACAGTGCATTGTCTTCGTTCTTGTGCAGCTCCTCCCTTATAAATGCTCACTCA